CACTGGCTGAGCGAGGTGCGGACGCAACACCGAGGGTTGGGATCCCGCTGCCAGTCCCGGTCCAGTACGGGCGCAACACTGAGGGTTGCAATTCGTTGCCGGACATGAAAAAAGACAAAAAGGGAAAAAAAAAAAAAACAAGCCTCAATAAATTCAAAATGACTGAATGAAGTCAAAAAAGATCAGATAAAACCCCCAATTATTTGAAAACTAAACACACTCCTAAAACCATGGGACAAAGAAGAAATTAAAAGGGAAATCAGAAAGTATTTTGTACTGAAGGGAAATAACAACACAAGCTATTAGAACACGTGGGATGTGCTGAGACAAGACTTAAAGGGAAACTCACAGCCCTGAGCACCTGTGTCACGAAATTAGAAAAGAGCAAATTAAACCCAAAGTAAGCAAAAGAAAGAAAATATAAATCAGAGTGAGAACTGATGAAACAGAACAGAGAAAAATAGAGGAAATCAATGAAACCAAAACTCTTTTTTTTTTTTGAGAAGATGAACTGACACACCTTATTTGTGAGGTTAGCATTACCCTGATACCAAAAACCAGACAAAGATACTATAAGAAGACTACAGACCAATATCCCCAGTGAACATAAATGTAAACATTCTAAACAAAATTATAACAAATCAAACCCAAAATTAAATTTTAAAAGATAATATATTCATTGGGCCAGCCCAGGGCTCACTTGGGAGAGTGTGGTGCTGACAACACCAAGTCAAGGGTTAAGATCCCCTCACTGGTCATCTTTTAAAAAAAAGAAAAAAGAGAGAGAGAGAGAGATAATATATTCAGTGCAAATGGAGTTTATCCCAGGAAGGGGGGGTTAGTTTAATGTTCAAATAAATCAACAGATGTAATCCACCATGTTGACAAACTAAAAGAAAAAAAATTATCACCTCAAAAGATTCAGAAAAAGCATGTGACGACACCCATTTTGGATAAAAACTCTAAGCAAACTAGGAACAGAAGGGAACATCCTCAAGCTTTCAAAGGACATCTATGTAAAACCTACAGCTAACATTATACTTACTGGTAAAAGACTGAACTGAACGCTTCCTTCCCTCCCTAACATCAGGAACGAGATAAGAATGTTACTCTCACTATTTCTATTCAACATTATTCTGAAGATTCTGGCCAGTGCAATCAAGCAAGAAAAAAAAAGTATTCTAAAAGGAAAAAAGTAAATAAACTGATTAATATCTGACTTGATTCTGTATCTAGAAAATCCAAGGGAACCTGTAAGAAAGCTACTAGAACTGGTGTCTGAGTTTAGGAAGGTTACAGAATACAAAACTGATTATAAAACTGAACCTCAACCTAAACCTCAAACCTTATACAAAAACTAACTCAAAATGGAAAAGAAATGTAAATGTACGTCGTAAAACTATAAAAACTTTTAGAAAAAAAAAAATCTTCGGAATCTAAAGTTAGGCAGGTCTTAGCCTCGATACCAAAAATACAATCCACAACAGGAAAAACTGATAAATTGGATTTCATCAAAATTAAAAACTTTTACTCTGCAAAAGCCTACAGGAAGAGGATGAAAAGCTAGCTAGGGACTAAGAGAAAATATGTGCTAACTGCATATCTGACAAACACCTAGTATCTGGACTATGTAAAGAATTCTCAAGACTAAACAGTAGCAAGTCCAACCCACAATGAAATGCTACTTCACACCCATTAGGATGGCTATACTTTGAAAGACGGACAATAACAGGACGCGGAGAAACTGGAATTCTCACACATTGCTGCTGGGTACATCAAACAGTAGAGCTGTTTTAGAATTTGGCATTTTATTATAAAGCTAAACATACTCTTACCATATGACAGCAATTACACTCCTGGGCATTTATCTCAGAGAAATGAAAACTTATGTCTAAACAAAAATGTATAGATAAATGATCACAGCAGTTTTATTTTAACAGATAAGAAATGGAAACAACCCAGATATCCTCCAACAAGGGCATGGTTAAACAAACTCCATCATACCATGGAACACTTCTCAGGAATAAAAAGGAACAAACTAGGGCCGGCCCGGTGGCGCACTCGGTAGAGTGCAGCGCTTGGGAGCGCGGCGGCGCTCCCACTGAGGGTTTGGATCCCATATAGAGACCGGTCCGCTCACTGGTTGAGCGCGGTGCAGGCGCGACACCGAGGGTTGTGATCCCGTTGCCGGTTGCGGTACGGGCACGACACTGAGGATTGCAATCCCGTTACCGGTCACGAAAAAAAGACAAAAAAAAGGAACAAACTATTGCTATATGAAGCAGCCTGAATCAATCCCCAGGGAAGTACCTTTGGGGAGGAGGAGTCAATCCTAAAAGGTTGCCTAGTATATGAAACCATTTATAAAGGCACAACTACAGAAATGGAGAACAGATTGGTGGTTCCCAAAAAATAAAAACAAGGCTGGGGAAGTGAGGGATGGGAGGTGGTACAGTTACAAAAGGGCAAGGTGAGAAGCCTTGTGGCTATGACCCTGCTGTATCTTGATTGTGATGGGTGGATATGCCAACCTATACTTATGATAAAAACATGTAGAAATAAATGCGCACACACAAACAAGCACAAGCCAAACTGAGGAAATTCTGAATACGACTGGTAGATGGTATCAGTGTCACTATCCTGGTTGTGATATTGTCCTACGGCTTTGCAAGATGTTGCCACTGGTGGGAACAGGGTAAAGGACACATGGGATCTCTACATTATTTCTTAAAATTGCAAGTGAATCTACAATTACCTCATAATAAAGTTTGATTACAAAAGATAAAATGCAAGTCTATATACTAGCAAGAATAATTGGTAAGTAAAATTTTAAATGTACCATTTATGACAGCAAAAGAAAATATGAAATAATTAGAGGTGTAAGACCTGTAAACTAGAAAATATAATGTGTGGCTAAAAACATTAATAAATAATAAATTAAAATAATGCCTCAATTCTTTTGTTTTTACCCTTGTAGGGTATATATCTTACATAAATTACTGTTTCTCTTTTAAGTCAAAAGTAGTTAATTTTTTTTTTAGAAAGACATTAGGAGACTTCTCATCTGATATAGTGAGGCCTGGTGAGTTAATAGGAAAAAAAAATTAGTGAAAGTAGGAAATGGCCAAACAAAACCCCAGGACATGCATAACATTAGCACTTCATCTGAACGTGTGTACACATGACTTCTGACCAAGGGCCAGCTTCCTCAGAGGGGTCTGTAGCCAGGAGCACACTTTGTCTTTCTTGCATAAACCACAACCATAACATTTCCATTTAAATTTCTTTACAGTGGAAAAAGAACAGAATTCAATCATATTTTCTGTCTTTTATGTTCCTCATCCATTACAAACTCAGCAGTAATATCTTTGTCAATTCACTTTCACTGAATCGTCCCGAAGCATTTACTTAACTTGGTTCTAAGGACAACAATTTTCCACATTCACATTTCATTGGTTCACAGAATATGTAATAAAAGTACACAGCTATAACAGCAGGTATAACTGGTATGAACAGGTTTGGGAACAGATTTAACTACTAACTCTCAGTAAGTGACCAATCCAACATTTGGGGTGGCTTGAACCCACCAAGAGCCTCTGGCACACTGACCACACAGTGTGCAGGAAGAGGGCTTCTGTTGGAAATGATATATTCTAAGAAATGTCACCAGAGTGCCAGATAAAAACAGCACCCTGAACACAGGTTTATGTGGAGTATGCATAAAGCAAATGTACTTCACCGGGCCTGGTTTTCCAAAGCCTTGCAGTTTCAAATATTGACCTTGCAAAGGACAGGAAATTTTCCCCAGGCTAGACTCTGTTGTAAGATCAGGAATTGTAACACAGCAAGGTTGCTGGCTCAAAGACAGACAGGTTACTGATTGATATGTAAAGATACTGGGAAATTGCTGTAAGAAGAGAATGTTTGCTAAAATCAAGCTTTTGTTAGTGGATTGACTTGACTGCATTATAGAATGTCACCTTGCTTGTCTTACTGAATGTTACCAGCTTCAATTGTTAAACTTGTTAAACTGTACTTAGAGCTTCAATTGTTAAACTTGTTAAACCATACTTAGCAAAAACCCCACCTATGTTCTCTTCCTGTAACTTCCTGGACTGGAGAATAAATACGGGAAGAGAACTCCAATTCATGATTAATTTCCCAAATGCAAGGAATGCCTCTCTCTTGAGGGTTCCGGGAGATTAACCCCTTTTCAGGGCTTCTCACTGCTCAGAAGAGATGGGCTTTGAGTAATCTTTGGCAGCTTCATCACCCACAGGAAAAGGGGTGACAAATCGGTGGGAGGCAAAGCAACAAGTTTAATGTCACTCTTTCCCAATACCTCAACCCAAAAGTGAAATTCACAAATAACAACCAAAAAAGACACAAAAAAATCAGCATAATCTTACAACCAAAGGCAGGTACAATAGTGGTAAAAGCAAAACAGAAAGAATGAATCCTCAGCAGAAAAGAGAGCTAAACCACAACCCAATTTAAACCTGAGAATCCCCAACAGACTTAGGAATTCATGATATGAGCACTCTGGAAGCGGACGTGAAAGTAAGGTGTTAGCTGTTAGTTTCTCAAAGATGCCCTTTGTCAGGCTGAGGAAGTTCCCTTCTGTTCTTAATCTGCTAAGAGTTTTTATCATGAAGGGGTGATGATTTCGGTCAAATGCTTTTTCTGTGTCTGTTGAAATGCTTATGTGGTTTTGTCTTTCAGTCTGTTCTGTTGGTATTCAGTGTATTTACATTAATTGGTTTTAGCCACTAAACCAGACTTGCACGCCTGGATAAATCCCACTTGCTCATAATGTTTAATCTTCCTTCTCCACACCACACCTTCTTTTTGTTTGCTGGATTCAGTTTGCTAGTATTTTGTTGGGAATCTCTGCATCTACGTTCATAAGAGAGATTTTTGTCTGTAGTTTTCTTGTGTGCATGTGTGTCTGTTTAGGAATGGGAGAGATCAGAAACTATACAGTAAACCTAGGTGCAGCAAAGAAGGTCAGAAGCCTGAGACAGATAAGACACTGTGAAGAGTGGCTGGTCTTCTAGTCTGGAGCGAAGTCACTTCTCTTGTGTGTGAATGAACGAAACCTTACCTTCTCTCAGCAGTTCGGTTTTCATACAGCAATCCTGCTTAGTCTCCCCCTTAGCTGGAACTGCCTGCTAAAAGAAAAAACAGCCATCAACCCAGATTCATAAGACAGACTGCACAGCATGCCAACAAGACTTCTCCAAATGGACATCATATCTAAAGTCAAAAACAAATCACAGTTAAAAATTCACAATCAGATGTCTGGACAGTTAGGGCTTATTCAAACCAGCAGATAACAGAATCACCTCCAGGAGGAGGGCTGTCATTCAAGAAACAGTCCAAGGAAACGTCTACTTTATCTGTATTTTTGGAGATAGTAATTTAACAATAAGACTGCATTCGTGTGTTTCTTATATAATTTGAAACCTGAAATGTTTTGGCTCTGTTGTGGAAATGCCATAATTTATTTCAAAATACATTCTGCAGCTGAAAATAATTCATCTAAGCATTTCAAGTGTCCAGCAACCTACCAAAAAGGTTACAGAAATGGACAAATCAAGAAAATTCAGTAACAAACAGATTATAAATATTTGAGTTTAAGCATCTTCTACGTGGAGGCACATATTATACGAGGTCTCTCGGAATTTGTTTTTTAAGACACAAATTTAGAGTCTAGTTGAAGAAGCGAACATAAACACATAAAACGCTCTTAACCAGGTGTCTCCAGATGCAGCAGCAGCCACCATGAGGCCAGGAGGAGAGGTGGCAGGGGGACGGCAAGTGCCTTGCCCACATTGGGGGCCAGGGGAGGAGAATACAGACTACTCTGGGCTTTCCACTCAAAGCTACAGAAATTCAGGCTCCCATAACCTAAGAGCGTAACTCCCTAAACCCTTCTGATCACTTCTAGAATGTTTTCTCCAAAAAACATTAGAAAATGTTCTCAGAACTTTCCCACGGAACCTTGAGCATACTGCTAATTTCACTTCACACCAAGTCTGGCTCCCAAGAGCAGGGTCATGACCCATCCTGTCATCTTCAGCCACCAACTCCCACCTCCCACCCGCACAACGTCCCTCCTTCCTCAATCCTCAGTGCTTCCCAGAATGCTCCCACCAGCAGCCTTCTGTAACAAAGCTGACAGCTTCACTGCACCCCAGGTATACAGGCCAAGAAAGGGTACAAGCAAGCCCAGCTTTCTTCTGCCAGTATGAGGCTATGACCCTCCCACCTTCACTGAAGCTTTCATGTGTGACCCTACCAGTGGTTTTCAAAGTGTAGGCTGAGGGCCCCAGGGGTCCCTGAGGATCTGGTTTTTTGAGGCATGCACACACACTGAGGGGCGGGGCCCTGTTGGTGCTGCCCAATCCTGCTCCAAGAAACACAGCTGAGGGGATCTGGATGGGTGTCTGCTCCTAAGTGGACCACAAAGAGTCCTCTTCTAGGAGATGAAGAGGTCAGTGCTCTCTGCCAGTCATTTAGAGTGAAGATCAACCACTATTACTGAGTACCTATCATGCCCAGGCATGTGGAAAACCTCAGTGAATGCACCCATCAAGATCGACCTCAAGTTCAGGGTCCAGGCCAGCTAAGAGTGTTTTTAACATCTTCAAAGGCTTGTAAACAACAACAATAACAACAAAAGACAACATACGACAGAGACCTTTGTGGTCAAAACCATTTGTGGTCCATTTCAGAAAAAGTCCACAGACTCCTGCTCTAGTTGAGGGAGAAGAAACAGAAACAGGTTATCTTCAGAGAGAGCCAGGTGTCACGCAGTCTATACACACAGCCTGGGCAGATGCAGCCCACGCCCACCCAGCATTCCTCATCCGCAGACCCCATCTTTTTGCCCTCTCCCCTCCCTCCCAATTGCTCTGCAGTGACATCCTAGAATGTAAAAAAATATTAATGAAACTATATTTTCTTTAAAAAAAAAAAATGCTCATGTGGGTTAAGCCTACATCTCATCTATCAAGAGGAAACATGGTTCTCTTATATTTTCTTTAAAAAAAAATGCTCATGTGGGTTAAGCCTACATCTCATCTATCAAGAGGAAACATGGTTCTCATCACCTCTGCAAAAGGGCTACAAAATGTTCAGGACTCCTGACCTGGATGGATACCAAACCAAGGTTAAAGATGGGACGCACAACCCTGTTACAGCTTAAGTAACAACCCCAGCCCACCCCACTCCCGCTGCTGCCAGTTCTTGCACTGTTCACACGCATTCCAAACAGAGCTGCTGACAGAGATGCTAGACTCTGATGGTTCTCCAGCTCAGATTGAAGAAATGAAAATCTTGACAGTAAAAGGATCGTTTGTGTTGGGTGGTCTGAGTCTCTGTCCCTTGCAAGAGAATCCTTAACTAACACCCAATTGAGGATGGGGACTTGGGCTTTAGAGGTGGGAACATGCAGTGAAGGAGAGAAACCTCCAGAGAAACTGCCAGCCCACAGCAGATGCACAGCTGAAGCTCTGAGCCAGAAGTAATGGCCCCTCAGCAGCAACAGGCAAACCAAGTGCTGGATCTTGATTCCTATGCGCCATTTCTTGCTACGAGAGCTGGGCTCCCGGAAGAGATGGCCAATGCCAGGGACGAAGCAAGGACAGTATAAGCTGAGTTTAGAACCTAGAGTGTTTAGTACCCGAGAAAGGAAGTGCTCAAAGAACGACTAGCATGTCACCAGAACACAGACACACCGGAAGGGCCCCACTGGCTAAGCTGGGACACTGTGACCACCAAAGTGGATAATGGTGACGAATTGTAACCCGTTGAATAAAATAATGATAGTGTGAGCCCATACTAATACTGAATAAATAATGGGCAACATACAGTGAAGGAGAAGGGAAAGCTCTTCTTCATACTAGATTGCTAACTGGTGAGTGCCAAAAGAACAATGCGAGTTAGAAATCACCACTTTACCGCTGTTGTCGTAATGATCCAGGTACAATTCATCCATCAGCAGATCCTAAAACTATCAGGTCAAATTTCAGTAAGAAACAGGACATTTACATTAATCTCAAAGTATCTTGCCACAGATACTTCTTAATTACAAAGGGAAAAACAGTAAATTTACAGTGTAGAAACCTGGTGGACATCACCTTAACCATATGACCAAAGTCAATATGATCAGTCATGGGACAGAGTGAAACCACACACCTCCTGGTGGACAGACTGGTGCTCTGTGATGCTCCTGCCACGGTGCACAACCTGAAGCCAACCACGAGGAGGCGTCTGGCAAAACCAATCAGAGGGGCCTTCTAGAAAACACCTGGCCTGTACTTTTCAAAAATGCCACTTCATAAAAGACAAAGACTAAGGAACTATCCCGGATAAAAGGAGAATAAAAAGATATGACAACTAAGTGCAACTTACCATCCAGAACAGGAAAAACTTGTAAAGGAAATTATTGTCACTACTGCATTTACAGCAGATTAGATAACTGTATCAATGCTAAATGTCCTGATTTTGGTCATTATATTGTGGTTATATAAGAGAAATATCTTTGTACATAATAAATAAGGATAAAGTGGTATGGAGTCTGTACTTACCCTCAAATGGTTCAGGGGGAAAGTATGCTGTGCATGTGTGCGCATGGCACGTGTGATGTGTGGCATGTGTGTGAACTTAGAGGATATTTCATGTATATATGGACGAAGGTACACAGGGGTCAGTGTATTAATCCCGCCACCTTTCTACATGTCTGAAATTATTTGTGTCTTGGCTGGCTGGTTAGCTCAGTTGGTTAGAGTGTTGTGCTGACAACACCAAGGTCCAGGGTTTGTTCACTGTACCGGCCAGCCGCCAAAAGAAAAAAAAAAAAGGAAGTTTCTTAAAAAGGAAAAGGCTAGGGAAGCCTTAAGATTGGAAACACAAAGTGCTAAAGTGATATGTAGACAGGGAGAGATCACAAAGTCAAGCCTGGACTGCACCAATACAAGAGCGTTGTGCAGGGACAGAAGCAGGAGGGACAGGAGCAGAACAGGCAGGCTACCACTGGAAGCTGAGCAAGGCATTTCTAGAAAGTGAGGTGAGCTCCAAGCAGAGTCACACAAGTGAAGCTTTGGAGTCAGGAGACCTGGACCTTGTGCTGGTTTCTCTGCCCACTGTGGGCTACACCACGTCACCTAGGTCCTATGGAGTTTGGTTTCCACAGCTACAAAATGAAGACTGAACCCCTTACTCAAGGAGCCATGATGAGAATGACAAGCTCAGAGCCTCACGTAGTAAGGGCTGCAGTAGAGAGAACAGACCCACATCACATGGGCGCACGGAAGGATCCTAAAAACTGCTGAGCCCACATGCTGCACCAAGTCCTACCTGGTGCCCAGCACAGCAGCCTACAACTGCAGAGGCTCCCAGCATTGGCTGCGCAAACACCTCACAGAGAGAGCAAGAAAACGAAGGAGCAGAGAGACACCTAGTGACTGGTGATCCACAAGAACACCAGATGGACAGGCTAGACTGAAAGACAGGAACTGTCAGACCCACACCCAACAGGCATGGCGATGAGATGCTGGAGAAAAGCAAACCCCTTTGGTGTAGCCACTAGGAACTGATGACAGACAAAAGGCTTAGCCACAGAGAAGCTCATATTCAGCTGGTGGGAAGCCGCAGGGCCAGCCATGAAACATGAAGAACTGTGCGACATGCACCTGGTGCCCTAGGAGTCCACAAGCTGGATGAAGAAGGGCCACTCAGGCTGGCACGTTCAGGCTCTGAGATCATGAGGAGCAGCCAGACAGACAGCTGCAGAAGGCTGACTGACACCCTGTTTTATCTTTAATCAAATATCAACATGTAAGGGCCGGCCCGGTGGCGCACTGCTACAGTGCGCCACTTGGGAGCGCGGCGGCGCTCCCGCCGACGGTTCGGATCCCACATGCAGACTGGCCGCTCACTGGCTGAGCGAGGTGCTGGCGCAACACCGAGGGTTGCGATCCCGTTGCCGGTCCCGGTCCGGGCGCGACACTGAGGGTTGCGATCCGTTGCCGGTCACGAAAAAAGACAAAAAGGAAAAAAAAAAAAAAAACATGTAAAAAGTAGAGTTTATAAAAATCTGGGCTTCCAGAGTCTGAACAAGTGAGAAGATGTGGTGGGGCTGTGGAGCTCCCCTCGGGGCTCCACA